ATTATTTTAAATTTATAAAAGTAAAACTATAATATAATAAAATATTCTAATATAATTAATAAATAATCAAAATAAATTTATTTGTGTAAAATTTATAATAAATTTTTAAGGGCATATAAGGAATAAAAAAAATTTTACAGAAAAAACTATTTCAAAACGCTGGGTTAGTTAGCTTTTCAGAAATTAGTTTTTTGGGTGCAAAAAGCTATTCCAAAAAACTAATTTACCAAACACCTAAATTAGCTTTTGGACTGGTCAAACAGCTTTTCAAAAAGCTATTTGCCAAACACCCCTAAAATAGAGATGCATAAAATAATGATAAATTTGTTATTATTTATTAAAATAGATATAATAAAATTATAAATTAATAAAAAAATTTATTACAAATATTTTGTGTATAAATTTAATAAATGAAAAAATGGTATAATTGTTCATAAATTTAGTAAATATTTAAAAAAAAAAATTGACGTAATTATGACAGACGAAAGTATACTATCTAACCTACTAAAATAAATGAATACTCTATTCGTTCCAATACAAAAGTTATATTTTACCATATTTGTCCATTCTATTTCATATATAATCATATTAATATAAATTTATCATATTTTTTTCATTATTATTATATAAATATTATTTCTTCCATCTCATTTACCATGTTCACGTTGTCGTTTTTGTTCATTCGACATCTCATATCACTTTCTTTTTTAAAAAATGATTACACACCTAATCTCATTTTAAATTTTCTAATTTAATTTTTTTTAAATTTTTTAATTAAACTAATTAGTTATCTTAGTCTTAGTTTATAATTATTATATTATAGGATAATTATTTTTAGTAATATATTCTTAATTATATACTAATTATACTTATTTTAAATTCTCGTCTCTACTTAACACACTTATAATGACAAAAAGTCTTTTATACTCTCTTCATCCTTTAACAATCTATCTATTTTTTTTATTTTGGTCCGTTTCATAACAAAATATCAATTTTATTTTTTAGTAATTGTCTGTCTTCCTAACATTACAAATACTCTTCTAATTCACAATATATTACACAAATATCATTACATTTATAACATACAATACTAATAGAGTTAATTTTGTTGTTTTAGCTTTATTTATACTTTATCTTAATATAATACTAATATTTTTAAAACTCTGTACAAAAAATAAATAGATATATAGATATAGGACGAAGGGAGTATATTTTATATCAATTATCAATAATATTAATATTTTTTAAAATTTTGTATCCAATACAAATAAAATAATTATTTTGGAACTAAATGAGTATATGTATTTATATATTGTTATATTTTTTATTTATTTTTATTGGGCTTCTTTCATTTTCTTTGATGATGTTGTTTGGTGTTTTCCCTCTCATGGAAAAAAGAAAAGATGCTGTCTGGTTTCTAGATTGATTCTTGGAAGCTACCAGGAGCTGAGCTCCTACTCGATTTGTGTGGCTAGCAGATTAGCTTCTTGGAGTTCAACTCCCGGGATCTTCCAATTTTTTATAACTATATATGCATTCCTTTGTATGTATATTTTTGTGTGTTGTAATATCAACAAATCTCTTTTTGTATATGATACTCACTTTTTTCACAACTTTCTTATGCATTTGTCACCATTATCATTGGATGAATTTTTTTATTTATTTTATTTTTATAATATTTGAATTTTATTATAATTATGTGTATAAATTAAAATGTATATTCTTTTGGTTTGTTTACTTTATATATATATATATATGTGAAATGATTACGTTATGCGCATACTTTATCCGTGATTTAACAATTTATTCATGTTTTTATTTTAGTTCGTTTCATAACAAAGTATATATTTTCATTTTTTAGTAACTGTTCTATTTACTTAACATTACAAGTATTCTTTCAATTTACGATATATTACACAAATGTCATTATATTTATATCATACAATACTAATAGGGTTAATTTAGTTCTTTTACTTTTTTTCTACTTTATTTCAATATAATACTAATATTTTTCAAACTCCGTGCAAAAAATAAATGAATATATATGAGACGGAGGGAGCATATAATAAATAAATAATAAAAATATTACTCCATCCGTTCTAATTTAATATGATATTTTGGAGTTTTGTAATAGATTTAAAAAGTAATAATATTTTATTAATTAGTGGAAGTGTCCGAGAGTTTTTGATATTTTTGTTATTTGACTTTATGTATAAAATAATTGTATGTCTAATAATATATTTGTAATTTAAGTAAAAATTAAAAGTATTTTCGTATTAATGTATAACTATTTTTTTAAAATAAAAAATAAATACTTTGAAATAGGACAGACAAAAATAATAAAAATAGTATTTTGAATTGAGACAGAGCAAGAATATTTTATTTAGCAAAAAAACCATACTCCCTCTGTCCCGCAACAAGAGCACCATTTGTTTTTTGCACGTAGATTTTTTTAAATTAGTATTATATTGATTTCTAATAAAAAAAAAGAAGATAAAAGATAAACATGTCTCTATTAGTACGATGAAATATAAAAATAATGGTATTTGTGTAATATATTGAAAGTTCAAATAATATTTATTATCTTAGGTAGATAGATAGTACAATTACTAAATTAGGAAATGATATTTTTATTTTTAGACGGACAAAAATATAAAATAATATTCTTCTTATAGGACAGGTGGAAATAACATTTTTTAAATATTTTTTACTATAAATAGTAAACTATTATTATTATATCTATTTTTATTAAGTTTTATACTAAAATATTTGAGTATACTGTTAAAGAGAAAGTACAATATAATTCATCTGTCTATTTTGAAATGAATTTTTTGAAATTTTGCAGTAATATTTTTTTATTGGTTTGTGAAAATATGTAAGAGATTTTGACATTTTTTTTTAACTTTTTGTATAAAATAATTATATGTATAATATTATATTTATAATTTAAATAAAAATTATAAATATTTTAAAATTAATATATAGTTACTTTTACTAAGAAAAATTAAAATATATATATATATATATATAGTAACACCAAAAATGGTGTTTGATTGGAAGAGTAAATGAATGCAACACATTAGAGATGTCTTAAGACATGCATTATATAGTTGACATGAAATAAGTAGTTGGATTTGATGTTATTAAAGAAAAAATAAATGTTGAATTTATTATGTTTGGAGAAATTTTGAAATAAATAAATAAATGTTGAATTTATTATGTTTGGAGAAATTTTGAAAAAAAAAAAAAGAAATTGAAAATATTAAACAAAGGATTTCTTATTAGTAGTACTTATTAAACAAACGATTTCTTATTACATAGTACTCCCTCCATTTTTGTTAGTTGTACATTTATGTCACCTTTTTAAGAATATATATATACATATCCTCCCTCCGTTCCGCCATAGATGATCTTATTTTCTTTTTGGTACGTGTCATCACAAAAAATGATCCTTTTTCATTTTATGTAAGTTTATTAATCTTAAATATACTTAGTAAATATAAATTAATTTAATTAAACATCTGACATGTTACATGTAGGACCTATTCAAGACCCTTTTATTTTTATCTCTCTCCTCAATTAACAAATATTTTTATCTACCTTTAAAACTCTTCATTTTATAAAAAACTAATTTAGGGTAATGATAAATAAATAAATATATTTTTTATTCATTTGTATTATACAAAATTTTATTGTATACAAAATGATATCCATATTGCATATGAGATACAATTTTAAAAATATTTAAAATACCAACAATATTACACATATAAAAAAATAATAAAATATTATCTCAGCTTATTATTAATAACTTAATAACCTACGTTACCTAAAATACCGTATCATTGACAAAAAGCTCAATCTTTCGTAGGACGGAGCGAGTATTACATTTTAACTTTTATAATTTATATTTTTTTAATATTAATTAGATTAATTTATTTTTAATATAGAATTATTTGTATTTATATAATTGAAATGAAACTATTATTTTAGGATAAACAAAAGGGTAAACAAGACTATTGTATTTGAACAGATAGAGTATAACAATCTATCTATTTAATATTACAAATACATTTCTAATTTAATAATATATTACACAAATATCATTAATTTTATATCATACAATACTAATAAAATTAATTTAGTCTTTTACTTTTATTTATACTATATTCCAATATAATACTACTATTTTTTAAAACTTTGTGCAAAAAATAAACAGCTAGATAAATAGGAGACAAAGCAAGTATAATTTTGTTTGGATACAACTTACAAATAAGATAAATAAAAAAAAAAGAGTAACAAATTAGTTATTATTAATTTAAGCAAGAACAATAAAAATTATTTGTTATAAATAAAATAAACTATTCATTCTGGCCATATAATTTGTCCTATTTAGTTTTAGGTATTATGTAATTAGTAAGTAATTAAAAAGTATATTACTGAAAATAATTACTATGATTTAATAAAAATAATTATAAATTAAAATTAAAATAAGTAAATAGTTTATTAAAACAAAAAATTATAAATTATTAATTTTAAAATGCAATTAAATTGTACAATTATATTTTTTAAAAAAAGATAATTTATATAAGACGGATTAAAATAGAAATAATGGACAAATTAAATGTGAATGAGAGAATATAAATGAGCGAAAATAAAAAAGAAAAAACAAAAAAAAAACTAAATTGCACTAGAGGATACAAAATTGCGCCAAATCCACCGTACTTCTAAAATTGTGTCAAACTTCCTCGTAATTTTATAAACTCGGTGTCTAATCTCCTCGCAGGTTCTTATTTAATAGTATTTCTAAATATTCTCCAATAAATTTTAAAATTTTAATTTCTAACTCATTAAAATTACAAATATATATATATTTTTTATATTTAACTTTAAAAAATAGTAAAAATAACTTTTCAAATAATAATAATAATAATAATAATAATAACTTACATAAATTTATCGTGAGTACAAATTATAAAAGGCTTTCTTCTTCGTTGAGCTCCATTCCATCCCCTTTCATATCAGCAGCTTCTTCTCTTCCGTTCCGATTCCGCCATTGATTCCGATTCCCCCTTCCTTCCATCTCCTCTCTCCTTCCCAATCCTCCTCCTTCTTCATCTTCTCCTGAATCGATTCGATTGTTTTTCATTGCAGTTACCATTGCCGTTAAGCAGAGGAGATCGTACTGAACTGAACTGAGCAATCGATCGGAAAACCTTCCGTTTGCCGCCATTACCGAAGCTTTTTTTTTTTTTTTTTTTTTTTATCTCCGGCTAGGACACAATGATCTCCGCCACCGACCTCTACCACGTCCTCACCGCCGTGGTCCCCCTTTACGTCGCCATGATTCTCGCGTACGGATCCGTGAAATGGTGGAAGATCTTCACGCCGGATCAGTGCTCCGGAATCAACCGCTTCGTGGCGCTCTTTGCCGTCCCGCTCCTCTCCTTCCACTTCATCTCCACCAACAATCCTTACGCCATGAACTTCCGCTTCATCGCCGCCGACACTCTGCAGAAACTCATCGTCCTCGCCGTCCTCGCCGTGTGGTCCTGGACCAGCTCCAATGGCTGCCTCGAGTGGTCAATCACACTCTTCTCCCTCTCCACGCTCCCCAACACGCTCGTGATGGGAATCCCCCTCCTCAAGGGGATGTACGGCGACTTCTCCGGCAGTTTAATGGTCCAAATCGTCGTTCTACAGTGCATCATTTGGTATACCCTAATGCTCTTCCTCTTCGAGTTCAGAGGCGCTCGATTGCTCATCGCAGAGCAGTTCCCCGACACCGCCGCCTCCATAATCTCCTTCAGAGTCGATTCCGATATCATCTCTCTGGACGGTAAGGAGCCTCTGCAGACCGAAGCTGAGGTCGGAGAAGACGGTAAGCTTCACGTCACTGTGAGGAAATCCACAAGCTCCAGATCGGAGGTTTTCTCCAGAAGGTCCCATGGCGGATTGACGCCGAGGCCGTCGAATTTAACCAATGCTGAGATTTATTCCTTGCAATCGTCGAGGAATCCAACTCCTAGAGGTTCGAGCTTCAACCACACCGATTTCTACTCGATGGTGAATGGGAAGAACAGTGTTAGTCCGAGGCAATCGAATTTTGGGAACTTAGGGTTTGATGAAGAAAACCAGTCGAAATATCCTCCTCCTCCTCCTGCTCCTCCTGCAAGTGTTGGAATATTCTCTCCTGTTTCAGGTGCTAAAAGGAAGGTTAATGGAGGATCTGAAACCGCCATGGCTAAGGACCTTCACATGTTCGTTTGGAGCTCGAGTGCTTCCCCTGTATCTGAAGGTGGAATTCATGTCTTCCGTGGAGGTGATTATGGTAATGAAATTAATGTTGGAGCTCCTCCCAAAGGTAATTCAATTATTTTTTACTGTTCTTCGATTGGGGATCTTTACTGTTCTTTGGAATCATCTGCATCTGTCGTTGTTTGAATTTTTGTTGTTTGTCTTTTTCGTGTTGATCTTCCATGTTTGATGAGAACTCTGTTCTCTGTTTTTGTCACCATTTCCTGAAATTGCGGCCATTTTTGTCTGCTTCAACTATGGATTTTCATTTGTTGTTGATGATGATGATGCATAGCTTATGGAGTACTATAAAATATGAAAAATGTATTTGTTTGATTCGATTTTTTTTTTTTAAAAAAAAATAATTGATGTGGAGTTTTAACTTTTAATAATTCTAAACAAACATAGCCTTAGAAATTATAGTATATAGTTGGCATTGTACAGCAAAATTATTCATATTTTTTTACAAATATCCATAATTATTATTCTAATATATAATTTTTAAAAAGTAAAGATAATTTAGTCTTTTATACTCCGTCCCGCAAGAATGTTAGCCATTTGATTTTTGCAATCATTGTATTTAACATTAAAAAAATATTCTTATATTTGAATCATTTACTCTGACAAATATCATTGTATATGTCTCATAAGAGACTAATAAACATATTTTTATTTTCTTTTCTTGATTTGTACTATAGATTGATATCATAATTAATATTCAAATATCTAACACGCAAAAAGTCAATGACAACCTTCTTGTGGGACGGAGGAAGAACTATTATTCTTTAATTCTCGTACCAACTCCCAAGAAAGACATCTTTTATAGGACCGAGGGAGTATAAGATATACATTTGTTTGGTTTTTGTTTGATATTGGAGTTTTTAGGAAATGTTACGGTGCTAAAATCAATTGTTGCATGTGTTGTACGAGTTTATATTACAATTGTTGTATGTGTTGTACGAGTTTATATTATGTGTTGTGTTTGTATTATATTAATATAAATTATGTGCTTTCGTGCCTTTTGTGAGTAATTGGATGTTATACAGCTGTTGCTGTTGTTTCATGATTTATAGTTCTATTTTATTATATTTTTTTTAATGAATTGTGAAAGTATTATAGAAAATGATATTTTGTATAATTGTCCGTAGATTACGACAATTTCGGTTGCGACGAGTTTAGCTTCGGAAATAAGCGAGGTTTAAACGGGGCTGAGGTAGACGGCCCGACATTGTCGAAGCTCCGATCGAGCTCCACGACGGAGCTTCACCCGAAGCCGAGCGCAGACCCAAAGCCGAAGCCAGCAGCAATGCCCCCGACAAGTGTCATGACGCGGCTAATTCTCATTATGGTGTGGCGAAAACTCATCCGCAATCCCAACACCTATTCGAGCCTCATCGGCCTCTCATGGTCCCTAATTTCGTTCAAGTACGCAATCGAGATTTTTAAATTTCCTTCGAAGATTGAAAATCGATTCGATTGTTGATGTGTTTATCGTTTTACTTTTTTTTTTTGTTTTTTAGGTGGAATGTCGCGATGCCGGCTATTGTTGCCAAGTCGATATCTATATTGTCCGACGCGGGTCTCGGAATGGCCATGTTTAGTCTCGGTAACGAAATTTTATACGTTTTAAATCTTTTGGGATCGTGTTTGAAATTGATTTGTAACGGGGTGTCGATGTGATTTCGCAATGTTTTCAGGTTTATTTATGGCATTGCAGCCGAGAATAATCGCGTGTGGGAAATCCGTCGCGGCTTTCTCGATGGCCGTTCGGTTCCTCACCGGGCCGGCAGTTATGGCCGCCGCCTCCATCGCTGTCGGCCTCCGCGGCGTGCTCCTCCACGTTGCCATTGTGCAGGTAACAAACGATCTCAACATTCCTTGATTCTTTTGAACTAATTGTTTGTCCGTGGGTTTAATTTTGGGTTTGAATTTTTAATAGTAAAAAATTGAATTTAAACAGTTATTTGGTAGGATATAAATAGAGGTTGACGTGATATTCTGAAGATAAAATAAATTTGTAGTATAATTTGGGGGGGGGGGGGGGGAAAAAAGAATTTGAACAATAAAAACTTGTGGTAAAACTAAAAAATGTTGCATAAAATTCATTTCTGCTTTCGAAACTCGGTATAAATCTTTATTTTATTTTTAAAAATTGTATGTTATCTTCTTATACTTTGAAAGAACGTTGCATGAAACCTCTTTGTGCTTTCGAAATTCAACGTAAAATCTCAATTTTACTTTAGAAATTGTATAACCCTCCCTTATACATAAAAAAAAATTATTGCATGAAATCCTCTGTCACGTAAAATATATATATATATATAGATAAAAAATCTTCGCATTATACAAAGAAGGTTTTAAAAGAGATTTTAAAAATATAGATAAAAAATCACTTTCTTATTACAAAAAAATTTTACGTTAGAAATTCAAAACACGTGTAAATTATGAGCACTTTTTAATACTTCAAATGTTTTATATAAGCGGAGCTTAATTAAGACTTTGTTAATATAGATTTTTTTTTTTTTTTTCATTCAAACGTGTATATATATATTGAATTGTTATAAAATAAAATATATATTTTTTTAATAAAATATTATACTCAATTTGTCATAAAAATATATATATTTTTTTCTAATAGGTACGATTCTTTTTATAATACAAATTATACTATTTTTTTAAAACTTCTATACCAATTTTTTCTATTTTTTATTATAATTTTTATTTTTTAATTAAAAAAAAAAAATCTCTCTCTAATTAAGTTAACTTATGATGAGTTTTTTATACATTTAGGCAGCTCTTCCACAAGGGATAGTCCCATTCGTCTTTGCCAAGGAATACAATGTCCATCCCGACATCCTCAGCACTGGGTGAATTATTTATTTATTTATTTATTTATTATTTATTTAAACCTTAAATTAAATTATTTAACTATTTTTTATAATTATTAAATTTGCAGGGTTATATTTGGGATGCTGATAGCTCTCCCCATCACACTAGTCTATTACATTCTGTTGGGTCTCTGATCAACATACAACAAACAACAAAAAGTGAAATCCCCATTTTGCCCTTGAAGAAAATCAGGTTATTATTATTATTATTAATTAATTAGGGAAGGTAGTAGGTGGGTGGGATTGATTTTGATTGTAGTGAAGTGTAGTGTAGGTCAGTAGGTGTAGGGGTGCAGTGGGAAATAGAGAATTTTCTTTTTCTTGTCCTTTTGTCCCCTCTTTTCTGCTTCTATATGTCTTTTTCCTTTTATTATTATTATTATCATTTTAACTTTTGCACTTACTTTACATCAATCAATCGATCTGCAAGAAAACAAAAACAAACACCACTCTCTCTCCCACTAATTAAATTCTTTTATTTTTATTTATTTATTTATTTATTTATTTATTTATTACGATGTAAACAAACAACAATCTGCGTAGGAGGAGAAAAAGCGGTGAATAAGAGAGTGGGTAGACGGCGACATTAATTAATTAATTAATTAATATTTTATTAGTTTTATTTTAATGGAATATTAAGGAGTGTTTGTTTGGGGGATTGGATTTAATTTTTTCTATTCATCCCATTTTTTTTTTAAATCAAACATTTATTTTTTATTTTTTATATTATACTAAAAATTAATTTTACATTCAAAATATCACATCAACATCTATTTATATTACATCATACAACTATTTAAATTTAAAATTTATACTATTTAAATCTCAACTCAAAATCCAAACCTCCAAACAAACACAACCTAACTCTTTCTAAAAAAAAAAAAAAAAAAAAAGTGGCTGATTTGATATTAGACATGTGAATTAAGGAATAATAATATTTAATTAAAATTTAGTATAAAGTAGTTAGTAAAATATTAAAATATTTTTACTTTTTGAATGATTTTAAAAAGTATATTAGAGTAATAATTATGGCTACTTTCGAAAAAATATGAATAATTTTGTTATAAAGTGGAGACTATAGTTACTAAATAAGAAAATAAAATAATTGTTTTAAAACGGACGAAAATAGAAAAATAAGATAATGTTTTTGGGACGAAGAAAGTATTTTTTATTTTTCTCTATTTATAATACTCTCTTCGTCCCAATACAGTAGTCTTGTTTACCATTTTTGTTCGTCCCGAAACAATAATCTTGTTTTCATAAATAACCATATCACCGTAAAATTACCTTTATTTTTTCATTTTTATTATACAATTGTCACTACTTTTTACACCAATACACTTATAAGAGCAAAAAAAAAAAATTAATTATATTTTTTTACCAATTATCAATATTTTTTAAATTTCGTATCAAACACAACCAAATTATAGTTTTTAGACGGAGGGAGTATATAATATATACTCAAAATCTTACTCTCTCTCCCAAATACCGTGTACCCTTTAATATATATACGATAATTTAGAAAAAAAAAATATAATTAGTATATAATTAAGAATGTATTAGTGAAAATAATTATTATTTAATAAAATAATTTTATATAAAAAGTAAAATAATGTATTAGTGAAAATAATTATTATTTAATAAAATAAATTTATATAAAAATTAAAATGACTCATTAGTGTAATTAATATTAAAAAAAATAAATATGAGAATAAAGTCTATAATATTTTTTCAAAAAATAAAAGTGACAAACGGAAATAAAAAAAAAAAATGGACATAGTAAATAGGACGGATGTAATATTATTTTTCTGTTCTCAAAGAATAAATATTTATATTTATATTTAAAATTTCATAGTTTTATAAAGTTAGTTTATATTAATCATAAATAAAATTTAAAATATTATTAAATATATTAATATTATTTTAAAAGAATAATAATTTATATTGAACACAAATAAATAAATATGAACAAATTAAGTGGACGTAATGAATGTTTGTTTTCAATAAAAAGCAACGGGTGAAAATAGTGATATTATTATTATTATGTGAAATTGTACAAAATTTATATGTGATTTTCGGAAATAACGTTAAATTTCCAATACTTCTAAAATTGTTTTATACTTCCTCATATTTTTATAAACTTTGCGTTTGATTTCTTTGGCTATCCTTATTTATTTAACGGTATTTCAGTGGCACGCGCTTAAAATACGAATAAGTTTCAGAATCTTCATTTCTAAAAATTTTCAAAATAACAAATATATTATTATTATTTTATATTTAATATCAAGAAACAATAAATATACTCAAGAATAGTTTATTTCCTCTTGTTCTAAAAATTTCCTTTTTGTTCTATGGACTAAATACAAGAGAAAATAGATAGATTTATAATTTTAGACGTTTAGATATAAATATTTTTAAACATTTTCACAATTTGAGTGCGCACAGGTCAAATACTGTAAATAAAGACGGCCGAAGAAGTTAAACCTAGAGTTTTATGATAATATAAAAAACAAATTGACACAGTTTAGAAAATATGAAATATATGGCGCAATTTTGTGAAATTATAGGATATGAATTTTGTACAATTTTTGCTTATTACTTCCCTCATTCCATTTATCATGTTCATATTTTCATTTTCATCTATCTCATTTGTTTTGTTATTTTTTTTTCTTGAAAATAATTATACATTTTAATATCATATTAAGTTTTTTAATTTTAATTAGATTAATTAATTATTTTAATTTTATTCTAAAATTATTTTTATTATAATATAATTATTTTACTAATATATTTTTAATAATTTAATTATTATATTATTTTAAAATTTTTGTGTGTACAGTAAATGAAACACGATAATCGGTACGAATATAGTATTATTGTCAATGTGGTGTGGCAGTAAATAACTTCTTACTTAGTAGCCGTTGGGAGGAATGGAATAATAAATGCAGCAGGAAAAGTGTAGTGTAGGCAACGGCGAGCATTTATTGCCGAAGCTAAGCTAAGGGCTGAGCCAGTATTTGTTTTTCCGACAACACTATTATTCCCTCCGACCTAAATACCGTATCGTCCTAAATACCGTGTCTGTTACACTGTAAGTACGGTATTTTAAAAATAATATAATTAGTAAATAATTAAAAATATATTAGTGAAAATAATTATCATATAATATAAATAATTATAAATTAAGATTAAGATAACTAATTAGTTTAATTAAAATTAAAAAAAAAATAAAATGAGATTAAAGTGCGTAATCATTTTTCAAAAAAGGAAAGTGACATGGTATATAGAACGGACAGAAACAGTAATGTGGACATGGTATCTAGGACGGAGGGAGTATTATTATTATTATTATTATTATTATTATTATTATTGTTAATCATATTTATATACTTTTTTCGTTTCAAAATTATAGTTTTAATTGGATTGAATACGATATTTAAAAAATATTGATATTATATTAGTAGTTGGTAAAAAGTATAGATAAAAATTCTTTTTGCCATTGTGAGTGTATTAGTGTAAAAAATAGTGACAATTGTGTAATAAAAATAAAAAAATAGAGGTAGTTTTATGGTGATATGGTTATTTATAGAAATAAAACTATTATTTTGAGACGGACAAAAGTGATAAACAAGTCTATTGTATTAGAACGGAGGGAGTATATTTTTTTATTTTCGTATATTTTACTGTAATTTAAACAGTGTATTTTTATTTATATTAAAAAATATTTTTTTTTACTATTAATATATTACTCCTTGCTCTCCATTTGTTGATAAAAAAGTTTTCTTTATTTTTTTACTTGAATCTTAATAGGATGTGTATTTTTTATTTTCTTTTATCTTTTATAATAAAATAATAGAAAAAATAATACTTACCCGGTCCCGGAACAAGGATGACGTTTGCTTTTTGCACATAAATTTTTTAATATTAATATTATAGTGGATTGTAGTTAAAATAACGAAAATACCCCTATTAGTATTGTGTAATATAAAAGTAATGACACTTGTATAATATAGTGTAAATTGAAAGGGTATTTATTATGTTAGGTAGGTAGTACAATTACTAAATTAGGAAATGACAACCTTGTTTTGGAACAGACGAAAATAAAAAATAATAACCTTTCAACGGGAGAGAGAAAATATAATTCTTTTGTTAAAAAAAAACTACTGATATTATAGAAAAATAAAAAAAAAAAAAAAAAGCTTATTATTTTATGACATAATACGTATTAATTTTTAAAAGTAGATACATTTAAGCATATTATTATCTTATATATAAATTGCATATGATATACTTTTTCTTTAGTTCAAATATCATTTTTTACATCAAAAAATATTTTATTTTATTTTTTAAATCATACAATTTTTTTTTTAAAAAAAATACATACTCAAATAACTAAATACACAATTGAATGATGATGAAAATATTTATTAAAATTTTTTAGACTTTTTATATATCAATAAAATATAATTATTTTTTTCTTAATATATAAATAGACAATAAATAATTTATAGGATAACATATGAATTGTAGCAAATGTTATACTCACAATATTTATATATATATAACATGACTTGTTAGTTAATGAGGTGTATATACTCTTTTTGTTCCGTCACAAATGACTTATTTTTATTTTTTATTTTCGTCTCACAAAAAATAACTAATTTTTATTTTTAGTAAAATTATTTATCTTAAAATATATTTAACAAATACAAATTAATTAAATTAATTTTCTAAGATATTACACCTAGGACGAACTCAACACCCATTTATTTCTATTTTTTTCTTAATAAATATATATTTTTATTTATATTTAAAACCCATCATGTTTTATAAAACTAATTTTAAGTAAATTATAAATAAATATATATATTATTTATTTGTATTATAAAAAATTTATTCTCTACAAAATAATATTTATATTGTATATATATTTTATTGAAATATAATGTTAAAAATTTTTAAAATACAAACATCACTACTCATATAAAAATAATATAATACTCTCTCCGTCTCATATCTATATATTTGCTTTTTGCACGGAGTTTTAGAAATATTAGTAATTGGGATAAAGTAGAAATAAAAATAAAAAGACTAAATTAACCCTATTAGTATTGTATGATATAAAGGTAATGACAATTGTGTAATATATTGTATATTGGAAGGGTATTTTTCATGTTAGGGAGATAGTACAATTACTAAAAACGAAAATGGATACTTTGCTATGGACAGACCAAAATGAAAAAATTGATAGATTGTTAAGGGATGGATGAGAGCATATTCGATTTCCGTTCGACGGTTTAGAGTATTTATAAATATTTTTATTTAATTGGAATTTTAATGTATTTTTTCTTAATTTTGGTTAAGTTCAGATTATTTGTAAATATTGCAAATATTTTTTATTAATCAAAATTTTTGATTCAAATACAGTTCAGAGT